GTATATAAAAAAATATATGCACCGTGGATGACTTAGGCAGTGTAATATGTAATACCATCTCATAAATTTTATTGGGCGATCCCTCCTTCTGGTGTTTTAATGAACTTCTATTAAGTGTTCTATAAATGGAAATACTAAGATTTATGGGAGCGTTAGACTGCACTTATAGGTTTGTAGAGTCGATTCTATTATTTGAATACAATATATCCCAACCATGTTGTTTCATTTTCTCTTTTGTCTTATATTAAACTAAAAACGCGTAATGTTTTTACTTTCATTTAAACAGAAAGTGTCACCCCAATTTTTAAAAATAGTGTCTGCATCAAATTTTCTATCGGACCCTGCGTCCACTTACGCAACCCTTCAAAAAAGTACAAACTGTAAAGAAAAAAAAAACTAAAAATATATGTGTAAAGGAAGGGGACTCTAAAATCGTTATTATAATCTCGGACGCCATTTTGCGTATCGCGCTGGGGACGCGCCCTTCAATTTTAAATCCTTTTTTACAACAAAAACCCCTTTGATGTTTATGCATTTCGGCAATATCTCCCGCCCGGCTAGACGCGCGACATTTGGCCGTTTTGAGGATTCCACTGATGCATATTTTAGATTAAATTTAATCGGAGTAGTAGATGCGACGTTGAGAAATGATGGCAATAATTAAGCATTGTGTGTCAGGCCTTGGTGAAGTGATTATTTAGTCTGTGGCACCAATACTCCGTTGTGCCCGATGACGCGCTACACAGCTATCCGTTGTCGCTAGACTGCGAGACTGCGTTCTATATCACAACGAAAGACACAACAACAATCGACGCTTAACCGACCTCCATTAATCAACACATTTAAAAGACAAACATCGTGAAAAAGACGTGTGGGAAAATGGACGTATCCGTCTCACGCATTCCAAATTCGAATGAATCCGAAAGGCGGGCGAGATATGAAAAGAGAATGAGATTTGAAAATAGAACGCGCCATTAGGAGCGGGCACAATGGTTCTCATTGGTCGATTTCAAAAAGGAACAATTTGTTAAACGTCAAATATGAACTTTTTTATTCAAGCCGTAATGAAACGCCGCTCGCTGTGATGCCTAGTACACATCTTAGAGGTTTTTGTCGGATCACTCGGGTCGTTTTTCATTTTTTTTGTACGTCCGCGTCCGTTACACTTATTAATGTCGAAATTAAAACAAGAATCCGAGCAGCAGATCGAAATGCCATAGGCGACAAGATTATTATGTTACTTAAGTCGTCCAGTCACGAGCGATGTACTAATTAATAACATTTCGTTCGTGTAAAACGGAACACTCGCCCATCCATTCGCTACTAACAGTCGGAATAGAACAGACTAAAAAACAATAACAGCATTTCATATGTAAGATTTGGTGATAGTAGTACACTGTGCGTTTTTTTGCGTTATCTACCTAAGTATTGTCTATTCACTCGTGCGTTTAATTGCGTTCACAGACAAACTTTCTAAGTTCCAATCATTTATCGGAGATCAAAAACACAAGCAATGACATGGAACTATCAATATTTCTAATAACTTTTAGAAACAAAGTATTAGTTTCATATACCGAAGCGGACGCCATATTAATCATTGGAACGAATTTCCGTACACCATGTCATACGGAGTTCGTTTATTAAAAATGTGACGTATCAAGATCAACATCTCGTTGAATGCGATAGATAGTTGCACGAACTTGGAGAGTGAGTGAGATAGACGTGTGCTGACATTTCAACGGGTCATCAACCCTACGGGCGTCCTGCTCTAACGAGAATTCGAAGATTTGATTTGAATTGTTCCTAATTTGAAATATTGGCTCGTTCGATCCGGGCTATGAAGTTTATAAATGTTTCTTTTTTCAATTCACATGGCCTGTTAGAATTTATTTCGGCCAGTTGTTTTGTTATCATGCTTCCGTTTGATGTTCTCAATAGCCCGGGCAATCCATAAAAGAAGAATAAATTGTAGAAAATAACGTTGAGTAATTTTATATCTTCACAAAGATTAATAATAGCAATCGTTTCCAAATAAAAAGCCCGATCGCTAAATCGAGATTAAGGAATGCTTTTTTTGTCTTCACGTTTTGTGTTTCGAATCGAAATTATTTGAAGTATGAAATATGTTATATGCGCTGTTCTTTTTTTAACTAATGAAATATTTTATATCGTTTGTAAAAGAGAGAATCTTGTTTATAAAAGAGTTTTATGTCATTTTAACGTTTGCCACAAACAATGAAGCGACCAACAAAAAGGGGGGGTATTTGTAGATGCGCCCCAAAGCCCTTATTAAAATGCGCGGACACAGTTTCTATTCGAAACAAAAGCAACAAAAATGTTAAACGGCGACTATAGGAGAATCATAAGAGTCATAACTGGTTATTTCGATCCATTTATGGCGATGTAATCCTATTGTGCGATCCCGCTCACATGCGCGCGTGTCCTCGCATGTGTTCGCGCGTCCGTACGGATACACATACGCTAAAATGTGTTTCAATCATTAATTTCGCCCGTAATTGAACGAGTTGCGATCTGCGCCCGCAAAAACTCCGATGTTTCTCCGAATCCGAGCGAAGTATTAAAGTGTACGTACCGATCGGACGCGGCGGGGCTTGGGCGTCGCGAATTTATACGTTCGTAAAATACTTTTGTCGAATTTACCCCCGGTGGTTCCGTGTAAAGTGGCCGGTCGGCGGGCGCCGGATTCTTTGACGAAACCATCGTCTACGCGGTTTTTCTGTGGCGGTTATTACGTCCGATCGCGAGACGAGCGCGCGACGATTTTCGCTTTTCGTTAACAACGCGTCGGGGCTCTCGCCGATACGGTCGTCTAGAAGACACTTAAAGAAAACAACTCGCAGAAAGCACGCGGTTGCATCGTCCGATAATTACTTCGGAACCGTGCGTCCGAAGAAAACGCATTCATCATTTATCTGCGCCCGATATCGGGCTACTTGGAGCGGTCACTTTTCTATTATTCATTAGCTCATTGTTGCGTGGCGAGACGCCCGCGCTTAGGCGACCCGAAATTCGGTAACTGACTTTACATTAATAATTACTTCTCAAAATAATGCTAACTTTGATGCACGACCGAGATAAAGACCGGTACGGTCGGCAGCTACCGATACACGAGTCCGTGACAGACGGTACGCGCTTTACTACACTACACACGGGCGTCGAAACTATTTTTCGTAAAAACTAAAATAACTAATACCGACGTACCAGTCTGTGATATAATGTTCACAGTGGAAAACAATCCGTATTATAAATAAAAATGCAGTTTTGTTTAGAAAAATATCAAAATAGCAAAAGAAGATTGAAAAGCAATAAATATCTATTTTAAACGTGGTCATGTTTCGGGCAAAACAATATAGAAACATCCATATATAGTATTCCGAAGGATAATAAATATGATCCTTATTTATATCGCTTCCTTACACCTATCTTTTGTAAGTTATGGCAAATGGCAAACCCTTGAAATTAACGTAAAAAACTACACACAAACATACATACATACGTAATGGAGCATAGCGAACCGTTGCATCACTTAATCGGCGCGCGTTGTCAGAATCGATCACGCGGGATTTACTAGCGGGCAAAGATTAAAGTAGTTTGTTGACGCGACAGACGCGACATCTGTAGAGGTGGCGCAATACGACTTGCCCCAACGAAACCGGTGATATCCGATCAATGATTAATGATGCCCGTTGCGATGGAATTTCGGACCGTATAATCAGCCGCCTCGGTGTCTGAAAAGATACTAAAGATTGTTACCGAGACGGTAGATTAAGTAGAATGCCATTTGACAATTAGCTCGTCTTCGATAAACCACCTTTGTCGTATATACAAATTGGGGTTTATTCTTTCTGTTCGAGTTTTGCTTTCAATGAAGTTTTCTTGTCTACGGAATGATACATCTTCATACGTATATAACTATCACCTTAGTATGTATAGTAGTCTTTTCTTCTTCATTGACTCTTATTATTTATTTATTTATTGCACATCCATTTAGTAACAAAAGGGGTTGGGGTAAAATAGTTCTTTATGGTCCCTGTTTATAGGGCATAGTAAAACAAATCATTACAAATTCGGAGAGAGCAAGATGTATCACATAGTTATTTTAATGAGGTATGTACTTATATACATATGTAGTGCACTTATAACTCCTCGGGTGTGATGAACGTGAATGGATTGTGGTGATCACTTACCAGGCGGCTTGCTCGTTTGCCTCCTTACTTCCGGAACTTAACTACTTGGAATTCACGGGACGGAACATGAACGCGGGAATTTCGAAACGTCGGTAATTTAAAAATCAAATTAAAAAGATATAAAATCCGTGAGACAGTGTCATTTAACCATGTATACTATTCGCATAAAAACAAGTAATCAATAATTAATTATTTTCTAACACGATATATTTTCTAATAAGATTATGGTTTCGACACAAGCGTCACTTGGCGCTTTAGCACGGATTGCAAGTTTATTTTGCTGTCTGTAAGCGGCCGCCACGTGTACTAATAGCAGTGCAGGCGAGGCCACAGTGGATATTAGGATTTTTGTCAACCGTATCTTACGATAATTAGACAATCGCTGGCAAACCCAGATACGATCTGTGCCTGTATTGAAATACCGTCTCATTTACATAGGGAATGAAGCCGGGTCGTGTATTGAAAACGTCGGATTTAACTAATTTATGTCATATGGGAGATAAGAAAGAAAAGAGCTAACTGTTACTATCCTGATTTCAGTTTAGTCGTAATGTAGCTACAAAAAAAATATTTATATTTGTTATTTACTTTTAACACTAACACTGATTGAGATTTTGACTCTTCATTGAGATGACGCGGTGGCGTGGTTTCTAAACTATTGGCTTAGGCGTCGTGGGTCATGGGTTCGATTCCTACACGGGGCGAGTATTTGTGTGACCCACGTATAATTGTTCCGGATCTGTTTTTTTGCTGCGGCCGGTCGTGAGACATCTAGCCAATAGTACTAACGACATGATTGGAAGAGATGAGAAAGAAGTCGAACTATACCGCGGTGGAGCCTCGCAATTTCTACCGTGCGTTCCATCCGGCGGTGAGATAACTGGCCCCACGCACTTAACAGTTGACAAGGCAACTGAGAGTCAACGTTTGTTGAAGATATCAGCCTGCGGCAGTCCATTGTCGGATGTGGTCTCTATCAATATTTATTCCGCCCAATCTTCGGCAATAGACAAGAAATCGTTCGAAAATCCCTAAAGCATACATGCATACGCAACGCTAATTTCGTGTGTATGTAGCTTTATATACTTTGAATTATAAATGAATAACAAGATAATTGTATTAAATTATTCGATCCTCATTATCCTACTCCTACGCGCTTTAGCTTAGAACAACGCGAAATTAACTTAAACTCTTATTTATAATTATACTTCACTTTCATCACTGCGATGGCTAAACCAATATAACCAAAATATACTTTTCGGTAATTTTCCTGCATTAGATTTTACAACTCTTTATCTAGGAATTTTCAATAGTCTTGGATTTTGATTGATTCTCTCAATGGTTTTAGGTCGTAGTAATTCTTTCTCATCGTATTCTTTAGTTCTCACTGTATTCGTTCCTCAAATAAAACATTGATCTAGTTTTGTGTTAAACATACAAATACCGCATGAACTACATAACTTTTATTAACATATAATCACTACAGCTAAGTTATTTAACGTTTCGCTAAATTATCATCAACGCACACAACGAACAAATGCCGATCAGATTCTACCATAGTAAAAACCAACTTAACACGGTTTTGCTTCAAAGTTGATGGCGTTACGTTCAAATGGCGCGAGACGCGTCACGCGACTGGTACGGGGCGATTTTTGTGCCTCCGCGCATAAACATAAGAAATAAAATACGTTGTTATGCCAACACTGAATTGCTCGCGGCGTTTACGGTACAAACTGTGCTCCACATACCGCGTCTGTCAGATTCCGATTAGAAATTCGGCTTTGATGGAAAACTGTTATTGCACGCCCATTACCGGCCGCTCGGGCCGATGGTCCGGTGTGTGAAAGATCATAGATAACGCCTCGTTTGCGTCGTGTGAAACGTCTTCTTTCACTTTTGACAAGTGGCATCTGAAGTTGGTAAAGCGGGAAAATGATGTTTCTGTTTGTTTTTTTTTTAATTTCAGTTTCTGTTGCAGGTGGGCAAATCATGGCTTTTAAAATCAGTACGCGCGTTGCGAGCGTATTTTTTCTTTTTTAAAATAATTTGTCAGCTAATTTTTTTTTTTTGAGAATATTTTTATATTGGGTTTATTAATATGCCAAATTATTATATATATATCAAAGGTTAAGACAATAATTCTAATTGTATATTTCCCATGAATTTGGATTTGTAAAGAGATGATAAAAAATTGAGTAGGCGGCTAACACTGCTGCAGCGGAACACTATTTGTATTTCTTCTAAATCTTTATGTCAATACTCAGAAATTGAGAAAATGTTAATTTCCGGACGACCGTCGCCGACGAGTGTTTGCCTCTATCGTGTTCCTACTTGTTCTTGAGGACGGAAATAAATACACGAAGTTTGATTTTAAAGAACAACACCATATGAATGCACTTGAAAATGACTCATTCCGATTTTATTTGACGGCAGTTCAACTATGTTGCCTTTTCATACTGGAAACGACAGTTCTGTGTTTTTTTTTTAATTTTCAAAACATTTAACGCCACAGCCCGCGAAATACTGGCAGCACTCGTGTTCCCGATCGAATCATGCATCACGTATGCCGAGGAATTCGAATTTCAAAAACTATAATGATTGATTGTCAACCAATGACAATCGCGTATTCAAATTCCTATACCAATTTGAATGTGAAACGAGTTCTTTTTTCCTGTTGGACCGCGTCGCTTGTACCGCCATGTACAAACGTATACAATGAGCAATTATTATTATGCCATATTTTATTGGAGTTAAGGCTTTGTATTAGATTTATATGAAGGTGGTACGCGATTGGAAAGATAAATTGGGTTTTATTATTTCTATAATAGGATCTTCCATCAAAAGCCTCGTTGTCCAAACGCCAGTTGCTGTAGGAGAACAGGAAAGTAACCCAATATAACGTACAAGTGCGTTCGCTTAAAAAGCCACATGTTTATCTTATAATTATTGAGTTATGTGTTTGTGTGCGTGCGTGCATGTGGGTGTAAGCATGTAATTATAGTATGGATATAGTAATATAAGTTTTGAAGTGTTTTCTCTATAAAACATTCGAGTGGCTGGGAACACTTGTGTCGATGAACTCTACGATTTTCCCCCTCTATTATAATAACAGCTCTGTTTACTAATACGCGCCCGTTCCTTTTCGAGGATTCTCGAAATGTAGAATTTATAAACGCGCCTATAAAAAGTTCCAAAAGGTATTTTACTCTTTCGGACGTTTCTCGGAATGGACGCGGTATGATATTCCAGTATTGCATTCGTGTTTTCTTTTATTTCTTACGAACTAACTAAACGGGCGAGGCTAAAAGATAATTAAAAAAAAAAGGAATAATTTATTACCGTAACAAGACGGACCGGTAATTTCGATTATGTGTTGCGAAATTTGACTAGCAGTTGGTGAGGTCATTAATCTCGACTGGTCCAAAACTGTCCGTTGTTATGAAAAATATGTATTTTTCGAAACTAGACTAATATAAATCTAAATCAAGTCTTAGTACGAAGCGAAACTGATAATTATTATTCTCAATAGACTAAAAATACAAGTTAAATGTTAAGCTTACACAGTTTGAAACGAAAATATATGTTTATCTTGTACAGATAAAAAAATCATAACTTCTTCATCATTATGAAAAATTTGAAAAAAATATGTTTATTTTTTACTATCCTGTAGGATGTAATAGATATATATTTTGCTTCAATTTAACTATGTATTTGAACACATACGTATTTGGAAAAATTATAAATAATCAATGTTGAAATAAATACGATCAGAAAACTTTGAGCATAATTCTACGTATGAAGTCGAAAAAGGGACGATTTGATGTCGTATTTAAAAGTCGCTTAAAAAATTAGAACTCGATGTTGTGATTTTAAAACAATTTTTATAATAACGCCAACAACAAATGTTTATGCGTCGAAAGCTAAGCACTCGTTAAAGTTAATTTAATATGTTTGCAAGTTTGGTATTTTATAGTGAATGGTAAAAAAAAACTAGGACAATGGTGCGCCGCCGTTCGCCTCACGACCGGACCACGGTAATTGAAAATAATAATTGAACTCGAATTAAGAATATGAAATCACAATAGAGTAGGGTCACCACTTTTCTACACTTTTTAAACACATATATTCAAGAACAATGCAGTCGATGTCTAAAATCGTTTAGTTTCTTCAATATTTTGTATGTATTATTATGAGTATTATTTTTGTATGTAACGTAACGTAAAGTAACAGCCTCTACATGTCCCACTGCTGGGCAAAGGCCTCCTCTATATAGAGGGTATCAGGGCATAGTCCACCACGCGGCCTCACTACGGATTGGCGGACTTCACATATCTTCGAAATATTTTTTTTTGTTATTATTTCGAAAATATGCAGCTTTCCTCACGATGTTTTCCTTCACCGCGGAGCACGTGATAAGTCAGCACCTAAAGTTAAAAACTTCATTGGTGCCGGCACCGGGGATCGAACTCAGGTTGCTCGAGTATATTGAATTAAAGGCGAGCGCCCGGACACTGAGCTATCACGGCTCTTTTGTATGTACGATTATAATATTATTATGTCCAAAGAATATCGTGTATGATAAAGTCGCAGTACTTTATTGAATAAACACAGCCTACGTGTATCGAAATAAAAAACAATAGCACTGAATTGTAACCATATTTTAAAACCGCGCTGTTGTGTTCCTACGCGGTGTATTTTTTTAATTGAAATTCGAATTTGGAATCGGGTGTACTCTATTGTGCGGCAAATGGAATTCGCGTTTCGTATTTTGGCGGTTAAATTTATCGTCCAGTTTTTATTGGCACCATTCCGTTTAGAATTGGTTCATGCGCAAAGTCCTAGTTTGGATGGCCACTTAATGATAGTTAATTCAATTGGAAATTCTCGAACGGAGATCTTTGACGATAAAGTAATATTTGAGACGTTGATCGTTACGCAATGCGTTTACGTAAACGTCCGTTACTCAAGTGCGAACTAGAAATAGATTATAAAAAAAAAGGTAATAACACTCCAGCCAATTAGATATTTCGATTGAAAAAGCTTTCGCGTACATATTCACCGAACGGTCTGTAGTAGGCAACAAAATGTATGTCTCTAGGAATGTGTGTGTGCAATCGGTCGGGCGTGCCGCGCGTAACAATCACAATTCACTTACACCGGAAATTTATGAATTTAAATGTGAAAAGTGTTAGGAATTTAATGACGGGCTTCGAAGTAAACCGCGCCATGTCTTCCTGGTGCCCTATTACATAAATATTGAATAGCTCCATTGTTTACTAGCTAGCAATTGTGCCGTGACTTCGTTGGCGTTGCGTTTTAAATTTCGAATTAGTCGCCTAATAAATTGCGAAGGTTGTACGAATGTGCTTTTTTTGTTTGAATGTTTTTCTTGTATAAATTTATCCATCGAAAGATTAATTGCGTTTACGCGAATACTACAAATTGTTAAATAAAACTTCATGGTGCGTTGGTAAATGACCATTTAAAAAAATCATTTGTTTAACGTAGTACAAGGCAGATTTTATTTAAAATATACAAACTTTTAACCATAAATGTGGCATTCAAGGTGTAACAAGCATGGGTGACAATTAGTCATCGACGTTCGTACGCGATGCTAATGCGTTGTTTTATAACAATATTTAATAGTTGGGCAACACAAGCGAAGCTCATGCCTAATTAGGTTACATATGACAGCTACAAGGCGTGGCCTCTTATAATATAAGTACTGTGACACACGGACGCACAGCGAGACGGTAATTCTCCTTTGTATGCTAATACAGAATTATCTAGCCACTCGAAATTGTAATCTTGAAACTTGCTTCGAATTTCTTCATCCGTTGCTCGGTCGGGAATTGTAACTGGTGGCGTGCACGCCGAGATGCTTCCAAACTTTCAAAATTTAAAATAAGAACACAGTTTTTTTTCTCATTTGTTTTCTTAATCAAAAGGGCTTTTTAGAAAACGTGTCATCGTGCCTTTATAATGATGACATGTATTGTTCTTTTTTTTTATTAATTGCTTGCCAATACATC